GTCGACAATTGTCGAGTATTGGGAAGGACCCAAGAAGTCGACAATTGTTGAGCATTGGGAAGAATAAAAAAAAATTGACAATTGTCAAGTGTTGGGAAGGACCCAAAAAGTCGACAATCGTCGAGTATTGGGAAGGACCCAAGAAGTCGACAATTGTCGAGTATTGGGAAGGACCCAAGAAGTCGACAATTGTCGAGTATTGAGAAGGACCCAAAAAGTCGACAATTGTCGAGTATTGGGAAGGACCCAAAAAGTCAACAATTGTCGAGTATCAGTAAGGGCCGGAAAGGTTGACAATTGTTGAATATTAAAAATGACAGGGAAAATTGGCAATTACCGAACATAAAAAAACCCTGAAAAGTTGACCCGAAAGGTCAGCATCCGTCTTGTATCTAAGAAAAATTCAACAATTGTCTAATATCAAAAAGGACTTAAAAGGCAGACAGTTGTCAAGTATTGATATTTTTCAGGTGCTCAACAACACTTGACAAATTTTGACTTTAGGGTCATCTTTGAAACTCAACAAAAACTGATTATAAATATTGACAATTGTAAGTATTGGGAGGAACCTGAAAAATCAACAATTGTCAAGTATGGAAAAGGACATGAAAATTATGAAAAGCAAAAGCAGGCTTTGATTAAGTAACCAAAATGATACCACAAAACACTATTTGATGTCAGATGTTTTATTAAAAAACAAAGCTTCAAATGATAAAAAACATAGCATAACTAATACAACATCTCTCCACTGAGAATCTTGCTAAAACAAATGCATGCATGGACACAAACAATGCAACAATTTTTCTTTTTATGGCCAATGTGAGTATACAATTTTGGAATAAAGCAATAAAATATTACATAAAGTATTATACGTAGAAGAATAAATAAAAAGTCATCACAATTACATGGAAAATTAATTAATGTTCATGTTTCTTGTATAATAACAAGAAGACAAAATGTTATGACAGAGTCAATATGACTAAATTTTATAAATCTTCTGCTTCACTATCCTCTGCATCACTAATAATGAGAGAATCACATTTTATCAGCGCATGTTGAACTTGTTTTTCATCAATATCAAATCCTATGCAGTTTCTTCCACATTTCATTGCAGCAATAATGGCAGATCCTAGCAAGAAAAAAGGAATATAAGTACACCGGATGAACCGAGTTGCTAAAATGACACAAATGAACAGCCATTCATGACACATAAACATGTCAGAGCTATGAAGCTGATGCTTGATTATGATTTTTTTTAACATTAAATTGACCGACATTCAGTCACCTTGTAACTGATCGTCAAACGAGTACTTGTCCATGTTGAGAGATATTGCTCTATAACAGCATTAATAAAAACAAAATGGCCACCGGTTGGTCATTTTGAATTGGGTAGTCAAACCAATGCATCTGCATATCTATGACATAATGAATATATGAAATTTGAACATAATGACTCAAAGCATGCCAGAGATATGACACTAGAACCGCATTTATTAAATGGCCACCTTCCAACCATTTTGAATCACATCTGGAAAACAAAATGACAAGCATCATGGCCCCATAATGTCCAATGTATGTACGAAGTTAGAACAAAATCCATTACAGCTGAGATATGGATCCGAAATGCCAGAAATGTTTGATTTTTGATTTTTCAGCTCTACTTGATCAACTCAGAACAACTTATGACAAGACATGTTTTGCAATGCCACAACATTTATTTTAACCATTGTAAATGTATAATAAAATTATAATATCTCAACTATTGCAAATGAACAAAAATCTTTTATCAAACAGGTGTAACTGTAGTGCATTAACTAACCTGTTCCACAACATGCATCAAGCACCCATTGGTTTGGGTATGTAAACACTTCAATCATTTTTTCAAATAGTGCTACATTCTTCTGGGTGCTGTTGACAATGACACCATCTCCATCTTTATCCAAGACAGGCTTTACCGTTTTCCAAAAGTTGTGCCTGTTACTTGGTAACTCATCTGTGATGTTAAGGCTAGTTCTTTTAATCTTCCCATCACTTGCCCAATACCCTACAACCACTGGATGGACGGAGTTTGTCAGTGTAACAGAATCTATGAGAGAAAAAATAAACACAAAGTCAAAGTTTATTGGCTGTATTGTTTTTCTCAAGAGTTACACAACAATGATATTTTCGTACAGAATCAGTGTACGATGTAGGTGTTATGAAAAATTGTGTTCACAGCACCACCAGGAGTGAAAACTATATAAGAACAAAATGTAGTGAATAAGACCTCCCACACCTAGTCTAATTTTAAGATCAGTAATTTTCACACGTAGTTTTGCGCATCGTTTTTTTGTACATATTTATCGCTGCCAATTCCAGTAATGCCAGAAGATACTTAACAGCTGGGGCCTCCTTTTTTTTAAAAGCATGTGTCAAAATGCATCTTTTTGTCTCTTTGTATGTGCACATATTTTTTCACATCGGAGTATCAAATTGCCATAATAACATGCACTAAAAGTCAGGTTAATAAGTGCTAATTAGATAAATATTCAATTTTCAATTACATAACTATACACAACTGTGTAATGAATGATTTTTAGAACTACAATCTTACCTGATATTGCATCTTCCACATAGTAGAATGCTGTGTCAACTTTGGTACATCCAGCTGCAGTTAGCTGTAGCTTTATAGTGGGCAGATTTTCCATTTCGCCTAACACGGTCATACAGTAATTAGGCAGACGTGCGGTTATATTGACATTTTTAACTGTTACTAAAAAGGATTGCATGTCTTTCTCTTGCCAATTCTGCAATTAAAAAAAATAACATTTATATTAAATTGCATGAAAGCTCTATTATTGCAGATATGGCCACATTTTGGGTATGCATCAAAACACTTTAGGCTTACAAACATTTCACAAGAAACTTTAACAAAAAACCTAATGCAACCAAAATTTATTAATTTGAATCAGTAAAATATCAACTATTAGCTATTGCTTACATTTAAAGGTTTTACTGCGATCAGAACACGTCTTGTGACCTGTGAACTAATGTGACTTTTAATATAGAAGAGCAATGTACAACTATTTTGAATAAAAAAAAAACATCTCACCTGTGGTGTGTCTAAAATTACAAGGTCAAAACCAGTAACATGCCCTGTAATTTTAGTGAGTTCTTCAGGAACTATCTCCATTGAGTTTCCATTTACAATAAACGCTTTGACAGAATTTCTGCCATGAATAATGGCAGGGGTTTTCTCTCTGCTGTCTGACAGATTCTCAATACGGAGTCTTTGGCAATGGTTTACAAAGATGTCTGGGATGGTTGGGCGAAATTTTTCAGTAGAAAACCTAACCAGGGCATCTCTCGTTGTTTCTGTTGGGAACTTTGCCACAGCTTCATCCCATGAGTTTAAATCCATTAATTGTACAAATGCCTTCTGCACATGTGACATTTTGTACAATGATTGTGACTCTTCTTTTAATTCTTGAATTGATAATTTTTTTTCTTTTACATCTTTTAGTAATAATGTCACAGTTTCATTGTCCAATGATCTTAATGGTCTAAACACATATGGTGGTATGTCAGGATTTGACTTATTTTCATTTTTACGCTTTTGTTTCTTTAGAGATCCCTCTTCATACATTTCAAAAATTTCCTTTAATATTCCATAACTTTCTGGATTAAGAGATGCCAGATAACATACAACCTCAAGGTTCTGGCTTCCTTTTTTCTAAAAAAAAAATAAAAAAAATACAGTAAACATGGTGCCAAGAATATAAAGGATATTGATGAAAAAAAACTAGTAACACAACAGACTCGCAATGCCTATTGTTTAAGGTGTTAATCGGCTTAATTGTATATGCTATGTGTGCCACGCTCTGTAGCATTTGCATAGACACCGTTGAAGTTTACCAAACACTGCATATTCTGCATATTCGCGCTTCTTCGGAAATTGTGTATTTTTTCGTAAAACGGATTCGGACATTTAAAAAAAAAAGCGGGAGATGCTTCTGGACATTTTGACCTTTGCAGCTGTGTAAGAATTTTAAGAATCTATCAAGAATCAGGTGAGTTACAAGTAACTGAATGTCTTAGTGTTCACCTCAAATAGTTTTTGAATATATGATGAGCAACTTTGAAACGATATTTCTCGCTGTTGCGGATTTTGCGGAAGGTTTCCAATATTTTTTGAGAGAGAGCATATCGCTGCGTTTTGAATGATCATACCTCTTTGTGTGTTACCTGTTTAGTTTTCGTGTTCCGGGATGCTGAAACATGGGATAGCTAGTGTCATGTACATGATATCTCTCAGCGTATCAGCGTAATCCGGTAATGGTAAAAACTGGAGGTGTGTTATTTTTGTCACATTCGACTTCGTAGTGCGCGATCTACGCGTTGTGCAGTGACTGTTTCAATGGTCTGTTGTGTGTCAGTATTGTTGCTATTTTGAGTTTCACTGATTTTGTTTCCGTCATAGTTTTGTATAAAAATAGGCCAGTATAATTCTATTTATTCCTAATTTTAAGAAATGAAAAACACGAGATCGCTCAGGGGTTGCCGATCTAGAAATTGCCATTATGTACGTCAAAATGCTCTCCTAAAATAACTTCCCACTCGTAATTATCGTACTCAGATTCGCTAAATTTCTCTGTAAATGCCATTTTCAAAGTTCACTGACAATTACTGTCATCTATGCCACTTTCTGTCTTTATGTCTTGCGATGCATCGCGATAGTTGATTGTAATATGAATTTATCTCGTATTATATTGTGAGATCTAACGAAAATCTTGTTGCTCAGCAACATTTACTTGGTACGATAAGAACTGATAACCTAAACAAACATGGCACACATTACAAACAACGCCGCATTGCAAGTCTGTTGTATTACTAGTCTGAGATGAAATATAGTGCTATTAGTACTCAGAAACTGCACACAACTTACCGGTAACAATTTTGTGATCAGAAACAGTGGTGAGAAAATGGTTAACTACAAACAACATTACTGGTGCATAACTTTACCGGTGTATTGTTTGATTCATGCTCACCCGTTTTGTTCAGAATAAAAAAAAGTCAAATATAGTCATATAATTTCTCGCTTTGGTAAAATTTCGTCAATAGGCAATATTTTAATGACAGCCCTGAAGCGTGTGATGAATGATAGAAATCATTTATCACATTCATTCATTCAACTACATGCTACATTTTAAAATTTAGTAGTACCTCATTTAGAATAAGACCACAGGAAGCCTTCCATCGAAACTTGTCTTCATCTGGTACATCTCCTCTATGCCGTCTACAAACATCAACCTGTAGATCATGAAAATCAGAGAGAAAGACAAAAGTACATTATCGTAAAAATAAGAAATTTATAGGTGATGGATGATTGGTAAAACTATCAACTTTGTATTTGATGTATTGTCAATTTGTTTAAAATTTCCACACTGGTAAGAAAGTACATTTACAATGGTTAAAATAAATGTTGTGGCATTGCAAAACATGTCTTGTCATTGGCAAACCAAAAGTGTTTCTGAATTAGTAAACATACCTTGTCTTTTAATGTGATGGCATGTCTGAATTCACCTGTTGAATTGTGTTTCACAGCAAGCCATCTTTGCTGCTCAGTAGTCAAGCCAGCATATACTACACAGTTTCGGCTTTTGAATCTTTCGTCAGCCAGGTACTTGGCAGTTTTAGCTATCTCCTTGGTAGCTAACAAGCAGTGCTGACCACCAATTACATGATAGTTGTATCCATTCACCTACAAAAAAATCAAATGATATACTGTAAAATACTTTATTTTAGCTGGAATTAATTTTTGCTGGCTGAAAAGACTTTTTTGATGATTTGTATGGAGTTTATTTTCACTGATTTTTTTTATCAGAAAATAAAGTATATTTGCTGGATTTTATTTTCACTGAATCATTCCTTCAGTGAAAATAGCGAATTAGTTGCAAGCAAAAATTAAATATTTTACAGTAATTTGTTTTGATAGGAGTATAGCACACATCTTCTAATATAACACTTGTTATCACTGCAACTTTTTTATATAATATTTGGAAAATAACACTGAAAATACACATAACACATTGCAAGTTGAAAGCTTTGACAGACATACCAAAATCATTGGGAGGAGAAGGTACCAGTAATATACAAAATAAAACATACGGGTAGCACAAATAATTAATGACAATAACACTTTTAGTTACCTTTTTCTTGTCAAAGTCTGCAGCAGATCCAACTTCCTTAACCACAACACAGAGAGGCTGATATGCCTCATCTGCAAACTCTACCATATTTGTCACAAGGCTCTTTAAAAACACAGGATCTGACTCCCGGATCTGGTCCCTGATTTGCAGAACCGCAATGTCAATTTGGAACATACCTTTAAAACATAAAAACACAGTGAGACTATTATAAACATGCCAATGTTAATGGTAAAAATGCAACACAGAGCAACCACGAAATGTAGACACAAGTATTTCTTTTGGTAGTTTATACTGTTTTATCTATGTGCTAAGATTGAACATAATTGGTTAAAGATGTATTAACACCAGTCAATGTATGTGGCGTCTGTACTGGAAACATGGATATAAAACAATGTAATGCTTTCATGACAAGTGAGCTGCGAGTCAAAATTGCTTTTCTGTCTCAACAGAGCATAATCCTATTATCATAAATCAAGCATACCCTGGTAGTTACTGAAATTGTTTGTAAATGGTTCTTAGAGAGGACAAATATAGTATACCGCAGGTGAATCAAAATACATATTAAGAATCAATGCAATGTGGCTGGCAGTTTTCAAGTTGAAAGTAGCATTTTTAAAATGAACAAATATGATAGAAATCTACCAAAGGTGCATATACACACCTTATCAAGGCGATTTTTTTCAAAAATGACAAAAATGGTTTATTCTCATCAACTTTGCTTTTTACGATGTCTGTGTATGATTGTAAAACTATTATTAAATGGCTAATCAAATTAAATTGAAAAAAATATAAAATATAACTGTATTATTTTTTGTTATTCAAAAAAAAGTTTAATTTGTATCATTTGAATTTGCACTTCAATTTTTTTATGCAAAACATATAGCATAGAAATTATTATTATCAAGCCATTTTTTGTTGTTGAAAAAATTACATTCCTTGAGGCTTGATTTACAGTTGGTCATGTCTGCATATAAAATATTAAAGCGATTATACTAGCCATTTTCAAGAAGTCAAAAATATTCACTATAATTAGAGAACAGGCAAAATAACCACCTTCCACCACTTTGAGTAGGAACAAAACATACCACAATAAGCTCCTGTTACCTCAGCAGCAATTATTTCTTGGTCAGTTTCATTGGAGTTTGAGGTCCTCTGCTTTTTTAATACAGAACTACTAATTTCGACCGACTTTGTCAAACTCCTTTTTTTACTCTTCTTTTTTGATGTCATTTCCAACATACTGAAAAAAAATAAAAGCATTTAATTCTGTGGTGTGATTGATCAATACAGCATACTTCATCTGTGACCTGTTTAAACTTATAGTTCTATGTAACAAAGCTGGTGAGTGAATTAATCTGTAATTGTCATAATACCATATTTGTTCTAATAAAAGCACATACACTTAATAATATGTAAATACCAAGCATATATGTCAGAATTTTTTTGACCATTTGGTGAGAATGAGAATCAGAAATGAAAATTAGTAAAATTACAATTTACACTGTACTTCTAATAAGCAAATATTGTATAATTTTAATCCCTGAATAATAAAAAATTCTTTCACTGGTCAGTATCTTTCGAAAACTACTTGGTTCTGTCATATAGTGTTACAAGATGCAACAGTCAATGATTAGTTTGTATAGTATTGTATTTGTTACTCGTGAATTAAAACATTATTTGAAGCATATATCGTTACTAACCTTATATGAACAGCCTCAGTGGGACTCGCACTACCCGAATCACTAATGCTACTTGAATGTGACAATCTCTCCGGTGATGTTGATCCAAAACTAGAAGACGCATTCATTGAACTGAATAAGTCATTGAACATTGTCACAAACTCTAAAGTACTTGCACTTTCTTTCAGCTTTCTACTGAAATCAGAACGGTTGCAGTCAAACTTTTCTCGTTCAAGTAAATATGCTTCTGGTTTATCATTATTCTTTGGATGAAATAGAAACTGTGAAAAAACAACATGTATTGTTACTGGTTGTTATATACTCTATTATAATATTATTATAAGTGTGTTGAAATTTTGAAAATGTTCATATCATTGAACATAGTGAATTCAATTCTGTACTTCACAATCACAGTTTGTTTTGTGAAAGACTGACAATTATCCAAGACAGACCGGAACCAGAAACGAGACAAAAACAAAAGATTTTTTAAGTAAGCGTGGGGGAAATAACGTTGCTAAGTATTATCGTCAGGGAAAGCTATTGTTTAAGCTAGTCTGTGATTGGTTGCTGGCAATGTTTGGGGGATTTTGACCAGTTTGTGACGTAGGCTTGTCTTAGAGATCAGTGGAAATGTTGTCTCTTGAACAACCCCAATGATTCAACTTTTTAACCACCAGACTTTCTGGCCAACATTTTTCTGTACTTTCTTTTCTTACTTTCATCAATATTTTTTAAAAATAAGCCCAAATTTTGGACCCAACAGGAATAATATAGTAAATTTTGGGGTTTTGCCTAATTTGACTATAAATCGGACTATTTTGTGGTGAATAAAGAAACTGATGGTGAAAAGATAATAATGATTTACTCCTTTGTACAAAGACATTTGGGTTTTAATTAACACAACAATGAAACTATTAAAACATGTATGTTTGAGTTTGAGATTATAGTACATGGCTTGCATGCATGTATTAGTAACTTTCCATTGTTGTCTCACCTACTAAGTATTTTCTAACATCAAAAAATTATAGAGTATTGTAAAGCGATAACTTCCTATTAACTTGATTTAGCTAGACCTTTCGGTCTATGAAATGAATTTAGGATCTGTTACATAGAATGTTTTATAGCAGGCATATACGCTAAATATATACACAACGAACTTAATAAATATATTTACCTTTATATACACGTCTTTATAGGCCCTGCACCCTTTTACATGTTGCAACGGTTCTTCAGTTTTCTTGTTGATGAGTTTAGAAACTTTACGGAAAGTTCCCTCTCCTTCTTCAACGTAAACATAAATACCATTATCTTCCTCAGCCAACCACCAAACACGTTTCCTTTTGACGACAGCACGATCTTGCATCATTGCTAGAATCAGCTGACGATGATATTGGCGACTGCGCTGGGTAACAAGACGGAGCTAGGTAGATATACGAGTGTTCTTTGAGACGACAAGCGTAGATAGTAGTTGAACGCCCTTGGTCAGCAATATATACTTCTCCCGGATAAACAAACATTATGCAATGATGCCACGAATAAACATCCAATACACTCTTAGTTTATTTTGTTTTCAGTAACGTGATGAAGCGATCCTCATTGAATAAGGCAAACTTTGAAATGCAAATTAGTATATCAAGGTGGTGTCGCCTCCTATTTTGTGATGCTACTGCTTTCTGTGACAGAATTGTTAGAACATTAAACCATTAAACATTCCTACATATTTTTTCCATTATCAAACATTCAGTATAATAATTACTGTCAACTAATTAAACAGCATGACACTCCGTGCCTCGGTCGTACTATAGCTATGTTCCCCATTAACCAAAAATAGTTTGGTCCTAATTTGTTGGCTGTGCAGGTCGCGTCTCGCGCGCTATTTTAATTTACTAGTGACCAGTGCGTTTGTGTTCAATCCTGTGATACTACTCGTAGCAACTACAATTTGTATTCGCCAATGTGTTAGTCAAGTATTTTTCTTCTCTTATCTTCAGTATGAGTGTCGTGAACATTTCGAATTCATCAACCCAGGCAGATTCCACAATATCAGAATTGCACTCTTTTTCATTTACATGCGGGAGCCCACTGACTCTTGTCGGACTGTCTCGGTCGCATGCAAGCACACAATTTGACAGTG